ACCGGCCAATCGTATTGCTTCAAAAACTGCTTCGAGCATTCGTAAGTGTTCATCGAAAGTTGCCGAAAAGACAATCACGTCGTCGAGGTACGCCCAGCAGGTTTGCCACTTAAGTCCCGACAGACCCTTGTCCATGAGACGCTGGAATGTTGCTGGCGCCGAACACGAACCGAAAGGAAGTACCTGAAATTCATAAAGTCCATCGGGCGTGACAAAGGCGGTCTTCTCACGATCTCTCTCATTCACTTCAATTTGCCAGTAGCCGCTTTTGAAGTTCGTGGACGAAAAGTAACGTGTGCTTCGTAGTCTATCCATTGAATAATCGATACGCGGCAGAAGGTAGACGTCCTTCTTTGTGATTTGATTGAGCTTCCGGTAGTCGACACAGAAACGCAAGCTTCCATCCTTCTTTTTGACGAGTACTACAGGTGATGCTCAAGAATTGTTAGATGGCCGAATAACACCATCTTCTAGCATCGTTCTCACCTGTTTTTGAAATGCCTTACGTTCCTTTGGGGCCACTCGATATGGATCTTGCCGGATGAGTCTGGCGTCGGAATCCGTGATGATGCGGTGTTTCGTCAGTGCCGTTTGACCAACTCTTGATGTAGATGAAAATCAGCCGTAGAACTTGTTGATCAGCGTGAGAAGGCGGTCTCGCTCAATGGGAGATAACGTTGGACCAACGTCGACAGGTGTCGGTGTAGCGATAGTAGACGCTGCTGCTTCCTCCACTAAATGACAATATTCTGTTTGAGAGAGTTCGTCGTAATAGGCAATAGCCGTGCCCTTAATCATGTGCCGGCGTTCTTTGCTGAAATTTGTCAATAAGAGTTCAGCGCATCCGTCAATAACAGTGATGACAGCGCTGGCAACAGAAATGCCGCTAGTGAATGCGAGCTTCTTGATGTGCTCAGCGATGCCAGTACTGTTTTGTAAGATGTCACAAAGCACGGATCAGAGGGAACAACTTCATGGCGGCAGTATGACGTCGTCATAGGCAATACGGAAGCGAAGTGGCTGGTGTTCCTCATCTGAAGCAGTGTCCGAGCTTATAGCGAACGTTACGCTTCTGTTACGGATGTCAATCACAGCCCGTATTCGCGCAGGACATCCATTCCCAATATGAGCTGTTTGCAGCACTCGTGAAGAATGACGAGGGTGGCGACAAAGGTGGAGCCAGCGATGAAGGGTCGGGCCGTGTACTTTCCAACCAGTGTCATCAACTGACCTCCTGCAGTTCTTATATTGGGTCCATGCCATGGCATCCTCACCTTCCTTATTCTGTCGTCTAGCTGTAGGCTTATTATAGAAAAGTGGGAGCCGGTGCCAACAAGAGCCGTTTGTCACAGGTCCCGTTATTTAGGGAGGCGATCGCCGGGCTAATTCCAAGGGCTAAAGTATCGGACCCCCGAAATGCACCACGAAAACGCGGACAATTTAGAAGTGGTCCTATTTGGCGCGCCAGCGGACGCCGGCTGTGGCCCAAAGAACAAGTCAGAGCCGAGAGTTGATAAACAAACCCAAATTATATTATCAAATATGACAGATCAAACGATACGAAATATGCACACTCGACAATAGTTGAATACGATATGTCACCAATCAAACAGCCTACTACACTGTACAATCAGCTACACACGAAACAACGGACACAAACAACAATACGCGCTACAATGCCGTCACATGGATCGAACAACCAAGACACTTAAAGACGAAAGAGTTCGAAAACTTATTCAGTCCAAAGTCCTTGGAACAAAAGTCTGAATGATACTCTTCCGAGAATCGCTCACTCAAAGTCCAGTGCTGTTGTCGATCCGCTGCCATCGAAGTTTCTCTTCCATGAAACCTCGCGTCTTGAATTGGCCGCTCTACAAGCACCAAACTTTGCCGGTGATACGTCGGCTTGCCACGCGTTGCGATTGCAGGATGCGTCTTCGCTCTCTAGCGGTAGTCTCAAACTATTCTTCAGCTGGTAGCACCAGCCTTCACCTTTCAGGCGGAAACCCTCTTCATCACCTGCTTTGTCACTAACGACAAAACCGTCACCGATACGATGCGGCGGAAAGACCCTACGTACACTTGCACAGAACTTTCATCTCCTGTCTACGCACACGGGCGCAAACTTTTTTCTTCTCCTGCTTTGTCACTGAGGACAAAACCTTCACCGACAGGGCGGAACACCCTACGCACCCTGGCGCAAACTTTTTTCTTCTCCTGAACTCCCTTCTCCACTGCTCGCTTAAATACCTTTCCCGCTACATTCCAGAAAATTCTAATCGTTTCGTCGGTGCGAGGCACAGCCAAGGCTGGGAAAAGAGCAAGACGTTTCGAGGACCGTCCCCGACTCGTGACGCAACTCTACATCACCACGCCCCTTTCCTTCCAGATCTTTCAAAGGCTTGCTCGGCGGCTGATGTGAGGAGGTTGGCAGGCGAAACTACGCTCCCGAGTGGGAGAGGGACGGCGCACCTAGGGAGTCTTTGGATGCTTGTTTTTTTCTTTAACGTTGACCCTGAGGCTTCTCTTTGGCGCTTGGTCGCCAGAATGCGGTGGCATGCTCTTTTTTTCTTTTTTGAGCGCTTCTTTGTGACACCGTCACTTGGTGGCCGTCAATGTGAATGGCGAGGTCAGCGCTGATAACGTCGGTTACGTCGGCAGTTGTTCCATTGGTCGGATTAGTCGTTGTTGTCGTCGTCTTCGGCATCGGTGGCTTCGAGCTGCCATATGTCTGCAGTGGGGCTGTTCGGAAGTTCCATTATTGGCAACCCCACCCCCCGAGGTTGCTGCGTCTAGTTTCCCTGTCGCGGGCTAGCGGAACTGCCCCTGGTGACGTCGGCAAAACTGCGACGATTAGGTGAACTGCCTCGCGCAGGAGATGGAGAACGTGACCCGGGCCTCATTGGATTCTGCGGCGGTGTGTTCATAGGAGTGTCGTTGTGCGTGCGTCGATCGTTGTACGTAGCGTAATCATATGTAGCGAGGAAATATTGAGTACTGAGTGTCCCGATAACAGCAAACTCTGTAAACGTGCCCAGCTTCGCCACAATGAGAGCATACCGGTCGGTGGTCAGCGGTACGCCACAAATCGGTTTTTCGATGCTGGTAGGTTAGTGAGGACTCACTATTGAACCACGTTGCAGGCTTCACCTTTTGGCTAAACGGCATTCGTCTTGTCGGCGACATCGGTGAGGTTGGGAAAGTCGTCGGCGCTGAGAGCGGCTGTGTTTGCAGGGTTGGTGGTGGTCCAGTCATTAGAGTCCGTTGTGCCGAAGGTGCGACAACGCGGCGTCGGACTGCATCAGCATAAGCAAAATGTCATCACACGTTATCATAGCCGGATGAAGAGAGAGCCTGACGGACCTCATCCCGGACAACATCAGTGACAAAAGACGATGCCTGCGTCGGTTCGGTGGCTGGAATCAAACCAAGCTGCCGAAGCTCCTCCCTCAAAGTCTCCCGGATGACTTCCCACTGAGGCCTGTTGTTGTCGCAGAGGCTCACCGCAGTCGTAACGGGACTACTCACTCGAAAGTTGACCGGGTTCTGCTTGTGGTACCATTGTTGTAGGGCCCGTTCAATAGCTGTGGCTTCTTTGGTGAACTCAACTACTGTGGTTGGTGGATTTCTCACAAGCCCAGCGAACAGTTGCTTCTTCACGCCTCACATTAGATACCGCAGCTTCCTGTATTCCGGCATCTCGGGATCTGCCCTGCCGAAAAGATGGGTCAGTTTCTCGGCAAACATAGCAACGTTCTCATATGGTTTTTGAATTCGAGCTTCCGAGAGACCTTCCGCATTCTGCTTTCTGTCGAGACTAGTAAAGGTGTCAATCAGCTGGTTGCGGAGGTCATCCCACGTAGCCATGCTTCTTTCCCCGTTGATGTACTATGTCTGGGCGTTGTCTTTCAGGTAGAAGTACACATTCGCGAGCTTGTCTTCTCGTGTGGCCCACTGGTCGTACTTCGCGCAGCGTTCAAACTGGTCCAGCCAGTCTTGGGCGTCTTCATAGGTCTCACCATGAAAGCAGTCAGGAATCATGGGATTCTGAAGTGACATGTGCGATGGAGCTGCAATATTCATGGTGGCTGAAGGAGGCAAGCGATTGCTGGCAGTTTCTGGCAACGGATTGAGCTCGGAAGCCAGGCCTCGCAGGCGGCGACTGAAACGGTGGACTGGTGTGTCGACGGGTGCGAGCGATTCCGGGCTCGAATGTCGTGTCCGCAAAGGGGTGCCAAGCATGAAGACTACCCAGCACCTCCACCAGTGTGACGACGTGGGATCGACAAGCACACAAAGCGCCTCAAACAAATATGCTTTATCGATCGCAGGAAAAAGACTGCAACGACTTCGTATTTTGCCCTCGACTAAGGACACTGACGCTGCTTAGTTGTCGCCACCACTGGCACATACGCGTGGCAATATCCTCTCAAAAGGCGTGCTGTCAGCATTAGTTTCGCTTCCAAAACCACCTTGTGTCGCAGCAATGGCGCAACTTAGATAAAACAGACTCTTTTGGACCAGTATGGCACAGTACTTTCTCATTGGCGCAGGTTGGCGCAATTGGCGCAGGTTTCCACTGCCATGGTGGCCTTGTATACTGCCGCTCTTTCTTCACTATCAGCTAGCTCGTTGCCAACTAAGCCAGTACCCAAGAACACATTGGAATGTAATCAATCGACCTTTTAAAAGGGAAGGTTGAATGCTTGGACAATTTCTATAGCTGATAAATACTATTATCCCCTCTCCTTGAGCAATACTTAATTGCTTAAAGCGCTAATTTTTCAAGATACAGCATCGTTCATTTACGTAGTGCTTCACCATTCACAAATTGTATAGCTTCTCGTATAGCAACAAGTTCTGCGGCTGTGGAAGATCACCTGGGATCTAATTTGTACTGCCGGGAAATACCGAGTTAAGTGATCACAAACGCCGCAACTGAGACGGACGAAGTTTGCAGATACATCAGTATGTAGGTGTACAGTGTCATTGTCTCAGTCATGCAAATGTACCAAGGTAAGTTTCTTGAGAGCAGCATAAGGAAAACGCAGCCTTTTCGAAATGTCATGTATATGAACGTTCACCAGTGGTTTAAGCAGTGTCGATGAAGGCGGTCCGGGAATGACGGCAGGTGCAAAGTATGAAGGGATCATATGTCTAGGCATATCGAGGCATCGTGAATAGGTGCAGCCTGGTCGGTCAGATTGTAACAAAAAAAAATAAATGCTGTGCATGTCGGGTCAGTAGTAGAAGGTGCATCACTCAGAAAAAGCTCACAGGACAAGTAAACCAGTGTAGGGTAGGTGCGGGACTCTTTAGTGGCCGAGGTTGAAGTACACCGTGGTAGGCCTGGGCATGTTCTCAGTGCTCGAGCCTGAAGACTCTCCAAAGTAGGAATGTACTTTGTACGCATGCTTCAAAGTATCATATATACCCCTGAGAAAATGCCTTGTAAAACTGCATAAGACTTTTCACTGAAGGACCCATCTTAGTGTTTTTATAACACGCAGAACACCTTCAAAACTAACTATAGTTAGTTCCGAATGAATTGACATGTGGGGTCAAACGTCCCAAAACAACCATGATTATGAGAGACGTCGTAGTGGAGGGCTCCAGAAATTTCGACCACCTGGGGTTCTTCAACATGTACCCAAATCTGAGCACACGGGCCTACAACAATCCCGCCTCCATCGGAATGCAGCCGCCGCAGCCGGGATTCAATCCCGCGACCTGCGGGTCAGCAGCCGAGTACCTTAGCCACTAGACCACCATAGCGGAGCGGTTCCGAATTTAAGTCGCACGCTTCAACCAAGATAGGCTGCAGTCAATAATGGTCCCTAAATATCAGTAGTGCACGACAGCAGGAATCACTGCTTCATCAGACAATATTGAGTAGCGCGCCTTTGATGTATTCGTAAAAGTCAATGCAGCACGTTTTGCTATCGAAAGTTGAAGGCCCTGACGACGCAAGTGCTTTGGTGTTACTGATGCGCCCTGTTATAGTCTTGCCCGCGATTTCGGTCGCATGGCTCCAGATGCCTGTACGCATATAGCATCCCCGTGCGCATTAATTTTGATATCGTAGCTCGAGGAGCTCAGCTTCTTCACTGTAAACAAAATATACCCAACTGGGATGAATTGAGGGATGATGCTCCAGCTCTGCTCCGGTGACCTCACTCAAACCGGAATGTACCAAAGCATATACATTCGTTTTCCACTGTTTTCCTCCGGTAGGTGACGGACGAAGGAAACCGAAGAAAAACGGGCCGATTTCCTGACTATGTTCCGGTGGTAGCTCCCCAACTGCTCCGGCGTATCGCCTATGCTCCGGTGGATGCTCCGTGATTGCTCCGGCGCATCGCTCAGTGGCTTTCATTGCCTGGTGGAGGAGTGACGTAGGCAGCCTCGCCGCCAAGTGGACGTCGTTCCCCACAAACCAACAGGGCGCAGACCAAGCCAGTGCAGCTAGTGAGGAATGTGCGAAGCCTTCGTCCGCGTTCGCGAAAAGAAAATTGTTCTGTGCACTTTCTGGATATCACAGGCGACTACAAGTGCAACGAAGGATGTCATCGCCAGGAGAGTGTTGTGGGCACCTTAATCGTGTGGTGGTTCCGGGCAGCGAACGACACTTGATGATCTCGCGAGTGTTGAGCAACCGGGCGGTCGCTAGTGCGGTGCAAAACTGGTGATCGAGCTTTTCTTCAATTACCTGTGTTATTCTTGTCAGGTAGTACTAGGATTGGATAATGTTGGGTTGATAAAATAAACATGTGATCCACAATTGGCAAATTTTACAAAAAGTCAGCAAAATTCCAATAATTTGTTGTTTGGACTACGTGATTTTCTTCTTAATTTGACTTCGGTAAAGTGAAACGGAGAGACGAGCGAGTTATTACGGATTCATTATGGCGTAAATGCAGCGCAAAAATGACAAGGACAAGAAAGTGAGCCCCACAAACGCTTGTGGTGTTCACTTTCTTGTCCTCGTCTTTTTTCCCGCTACATATGCATCATAATTACTTCGCTAAATTGAATAAAGACATAGTAATATTTGCAGTGCTTATTAGATACGCAACAATGAAAAATGTCATAGTTTTGCGTTGATTCTATAAAACGTTAAAAGGGTCGTGGAGCATTCTCTAAAAATTTTAAACTACGTGTGTTTTCGGAATCCTGGCAGTCCATTCAATACTATACCTCGACTCGTTTGATCGTCTGTGCTGAATAAATACATAAAAAGCGCAATTTTGGTTTCCCAGATCACGTTCCCGTCAACTGTGCAGGTGACGTCCCATTAACCCCTTGTGGGGCAACGGGAAATATATGTCCCATTTTTTGTTCCCCACAGAATTGCTCGTGAGAAACAATGGGACGCATCAAGCCCATTTTTTTGTGCTGCCATCTACATTGAGGTTTTCACACTTCTGTTAAATCTCGTTTGGAAGCTGTACAATAGGTGGCGTTAGGTGTACACTATTTTTCAAAATTGTGTGGCTTTTGTTTCACCGGCGGCACAAATTTCCGCATTGTGAGTCTCCGGAAAAGAATAATTCAAGATGACAAGTGAGTGTACCCTTTTCTGTGCTTCGAAAGAAATAGCTCCAGCATGTAATAATCGGGTGTTTTCAACAATAGAAGCAATACTTACTCCTAAAAGCTTTTTCGAATGGTGCCAGGGCAAAAACTGCATGACGATGGGATAAGCCTACTGCCACCGCTGCCTGCATTCGATGTGTAGTGAAACATTTCACCAACTCTTTTGTTTTCTGTTTGCTTGTAAAAACGCAGGTAAACGATTGCTGACGCGAGAGGAAACGCTGGAATTATATTTTAGCCTTCCTGACGACCCTACGTCGAGTGATTCTGACAGAGATACAGATGAAGACTTCGCACCCGAGCTCGCTCCGCCCGATTCAGATGAGCAAAGCAGTGAAGCCGAAGCGGCGGGATCAACAAGGAAACCACAAAAGCGAAAGGCTACCTATTCAAGAAAGAAAAGGAGGGAGAAGAAAGTGCCTAGAATTTGCGACGAAGCAGAAGTCGAAGAGGAGGAGGTTGGGGCATGGAATAGCAGCGAACCGGATGCCGTCATTCGTGTTCCAAAAATTTGGGACCCACAATACAGTGCAAATCTCCCGACAACACCTTGTGAAGCTTTTGCTCTTTATTTTGACGAAGGTATCATGAACACACTGGTGACTGAGACAAACCGCTTTGCCAAACAGAAAGGCCGACAGCTTTGGAAAGAGCTTACAATTGATGAACTCCATGCATACTTTGGCATACTTCTGCTGATGAGCACAAACCCCAGACATCAAATGTACCTGTACTGGAGCAGTGACAGTTTTTTCAATTGTCCTGAAATATCAAAGGTTATGTCGTTCCGTCGTTTTCAAGCCATTATGAACTGTTTGCACCTCACCGACCTAACCAAGGAAAAAAAGAAAGGTGAAGAAGGGTACGACAGATTGGCAAGAGTGCGTCCTCTCATTCTTGCACGGAATGAAAGTTTCGAGAGACAATACACTCCATCAGCGCACCAAGCCATTGATGAGAGTATGATACGATTCAAAGGCCGGTCCTCACTGAAGCAGTTCCTTCCAATGAAACCTATCAAGCGGGGATACAAGGTGTGGTGCAGAGCCGACTCTCAGACAGGTTACCTGATTGAATTTCAGGTCTACGAAGGTGAAGGTGCAGACCGACCTGCGAACGTAGGTCTCGGTGAGCATGTTGTGCTCTCCCTCATTGACCGAGTAGAGGCTGGCACGCAGCTATATTTCGATGACTTTTTCACGTCCACACGCCTAATAGAGGCCTTGAAAGAAAAGAACATTTTGGCCGCAGGAACGGTTTGCCCAAACCGCAAGGACTTACCTGACGAAATCAAACGGGATAACAATCTAACAAGCTAACAACAAGATAACAATCAAACGGGATAACAAGCGAAATGAGCTACCTTTGGTTCCGGCTCGTCCTTGGTCGCCAGCTGATAAACGGGCAAACATTCAAAGGGTCCAGCAATCGCCCGTATCGAGTCAACAAAAAGGGTGCCAAACATGGCCAGAAAATGGTAGGCGTTGCTGATGAAGTCCGATTTCTGGGAGCTGGACATCACCCTCAGAAGATTGCAAAAAGGAGGCGGTGTCGTTGGTGCTCGACTGCCAAGAAAGAAGCGCGCACCAACCTTCTGTGTTCTGTGTGCAATGTGCCCCTTTGTTCAACGTGTTTTGGACCTTTTCATGCCGGCCGAATGTAACCAAGGAGCCCTCAAAGAGCATTGGTTCAACGTGTTTTGGACTTTTTCACGCCGCCCAAATGTAACCCCGGAGCCCTCAAAGAGCATTTGGACAAATGCGTCCCATTTTTTGAATTTTAATTTAGCGCCAGTCGGACAGATGTGTCCCAGTTTTTTTTAATAAAGTACTCGTTGTACATCCTTGAAATTTCTTTCAAACAACTTCTGTTGGCTTGGTTAGTAAAATAAGACAACATTTTTCTGGTTTTTAAAAAAAACATATCCTGCCCTACAAAGGGTTAAGACAGCCAACGCGAAGTCTCTCCGTTGTCGACAAACTCCCACCACACCACCTCTCACCACAGCCCACATTCATTCTCGACTCCGAGCGTAGGCCTAGCAAGGCCGACATTCTCGGTTGCGCCGCTCGCTTTCCAACGTGAGCGCATTGTCGACCGCTTCTTTCTGCCAATACGATAAAAACTTGTACACTTATATATAATGCTTTACCCGTGCAACTAGTTTTGTCGACGGCCTCGATCTAAAGAGCAAAGGTGGGAACGAAGCCAGCCGGTTGGCCGAGATGGCCGGCGCCACTGTTTGTTTACCAGCGAATTGGCCTTCCATCACGGCTCTATATCTCATTGGTAGCTCGGAAACAGACGTTGCCTTGCAGAAATAGCATACTTCAAGCATCAATTCATTCAATCATCAGTTATTTACCATCAGAAACAGTTTATCACTGTTGTTTATCCAATGTTTTCTATGCCGCCGACAACGACGGTATGCACAAACACCCAAGCGATCGAGGCTATCGGAGTGGAGACAAAAAAGCCTGAGACGGGCGCCCACTTGGGGTGCCCTTTCTCACGCTCCCGCGAAGGGAGGGTGAGAAGCGAGGTCAGGGGGCCGCAGTCACTGGCCACAGCACGGAGGCTCCAGGAACATACAGCTCGGTGGCACGGCCCCAGACAACACTCGACGACCTGAGGTCGTCCTCATATGGTACAAACGTCCTCGGCAGTTTCAGGACGTCCTCATTTGGTCCTCTAGTCGACACTTGCAGGATTATCCCCAAAATGCCCCTTTGAGACCTTTTTAAGGACGAAGAATTGTCCTGATATCGTCTGCTCGAGGACGTTTTGAGGATATGCATGTTTCGTAGGTGCATGCAGCTTTCGCAATTCGTGTTTGGTTAATTTTCTGGCTGTTAACGAATAAGTCCACGGGATTTCGTATGCCTACTTTCGAGTCATAATAGTAAAGTACTTCTCGATCATTAAAATGAGATAGTTACACGAGGAAGCACTTCAAGCCAACACGAGAAAGACGTGTTCTTTTATTTATTATTTATTTATTTACTTTGTAAGTGATCGTAGGCCAAACTTTCTGCCTGCACGTTTTCGTTGGTCGTGATCTACCGCCGACGTGCATACGGAATTATATCGCACTGACTGTGGTCTGACCCGTTTCCCCAATGAACGCACGTGCGGCAGACCAAGTTTGGTGCGAGTATAAACGGTGTCGGCTCCAAAATGAATGCAGGCGTGAAAACTGTGAATAGCGAGCACGTTATTCTCGAGTGTCCAGTGTTGCAATGCCGCACGGTCCCATCGAGCAGACGACAACTGACCATGCTGACGACTGGGCTGGCCTAGGTTATCGTGAATAGAGCAGCATTGGAACTAGAACGCTGTGGGAAAACGAATGGGCGACTGAAGTTGTGGTGGTGCTAACAAAAAAAAAGCAGTACCTTAATGCGGTCACCATGCGCAGTCAAGGTGCTTTTAAATCTGGATGTCTACGACACTGTTTACCCATTTTAAAGTGACGCAACTATCATCATCATCATTATGGGCCTGCAGTAAGTCAAGTCGAGTCATTGGTCGAGTCAACATTCCAATACAACACTTCTCGCCATAGATAGAGTGTACTAGAACAAGGGGAGTGCCCGGACCGAGATCCAAAAAGTGAGGCCCAAACGGGGTCAAATCCGCTAGTGGCGCTGCGATCGGTAGTCTGTGACCTGTCGTCGTTTTAAGAGCCGTGCGCAGCTCCGCCGAAGTGGTCGAGGGGTAGAATGCTCGCATCCCACTAAAAAGACCCAGGTTCGAATCACCGCTGTGACCATAGATTTTTTTTTTAATTTCACGTGTACAACTGTATTGTTTGGCTTTTTTTTTAAATATGCCTTCAGTTTCTACATATTGCTACAAAACATTACGCGAGATATGAAGTAAAGGAGAAAAAAACTTGACAGCAAGCGCATTTATTTGCAGCGCCACCGCACGGGATTCAACGAAAACTTAAAAGCATAGCTTGCGAGATTTTAGCGAATAAAAGAGAGACGGTGTGCTTTCACTCGCCTGCGGTCGCCGCCCACTGGCTCGCTTAAAAAAAGAAAAAGAAAAACTGAAAGTAAACGATTTTCAGTCGGCGGGAAGTCGCGAAGGTTTGAATACTGGTAAAGCAGCGATGTTCTGTCTGCTCGAGTTTTCAGTGTTCCTCCTCACACTAAATGCGTAAGATATTGGCGTGTAACATTAATAAAGCTATCACGAGGTGTGCGGAAACAGACAGGTGAACGTGTTCATATTTTTGTGGCAGACGATAAAAAAGCGCTGTCCGCAGTGCTCGTGCGCGAAACCTCATAGTTGCCGCAGCGGGCTGGCGGTGTAGCCGAGCAGACGACACGCGTGTTCCCCTTCAGATGTGGACCCCTCTGTACAAGTGAGAGTCTCACGTCCTGTTACACCTTTCGCAAATGAAACCAAAGCGGCAGGGCAACTGCTGTGTGCCCGGCTGCGGGGTTACCTACATAGGATCTACTGAAGGCAGTAAGTGTTCGCTATTCGCCGTTCCAACATCTCCGACCCTGAGGGAGAAATGGGAGTACAGCTTACGCTTGCCAAGAGGGCACATGAAAAGTTCAAGTGTGGTCTGCGAGGCACATTTCGAGCCGCATCATCTGCTTCGAGACTTCGTGCACATTATAGGCGGTAGAGAGGTCAGGTTGCCCCGTGACCGGCCAAAGCTTGCAGTCGGAGCAGTGCCTGTTATACTGAGTGGACAACAACGTTCCGACGGGGGTGACCAGGTGACTAATAATTCGACAAGTCGTCAGCATGCCAAACAAGATGCCCCCGGGCCATCAATGACCAAGTGCGAAGAGAAAAAAAGGTCCTCTAGCGCTGCGAGCTTGACAGAGAGGCATGCAAAGTGTGTGAAGTCGGCAGCGCATCCCGTGATGGACTGCAATTCGGAGACACAAGGCGGTACCACGAATGAAGGAAGACGTTCCCTTCTTACACTGACGATGCCGTCAACCTCCAGATGGACAGCCCTTCAGTTCCCGCATGTTGATGGTGTCTTCTATGTCACCTCCACACTAATACCGCCTTCAGAAATATCCCATGACAAAGTTATATTCCTGAAAGAAGAAGAAGACGGACTTCTCTGCCGAACACATATAAACGGCAGTCCTTACGACGAAAAACGGGCTCTATCTTTCGCACAGGCAGAGGAACATATGCAAAAAATCGACGCAGCTTCTGTATGCCCTGGCTCCATAAGGAAAAATGAACCTAATGATGGCCCACTTGAGACATTTGCCTCTGGACGGAACTTCAGATGCCATGGAGGAGCGTTTTACAGCAGAAGCTGTGAAGGTGTTGTACCTAACGGAGGTAAGTAGGTCTATGTACTTCACCGATACGGACAGAGCTTAAATTAAAGCGTATAGGAGAGGGACGTTTTGATAAAATTTATGGTGATTTTGAACGAGTTGTCAAAATATATGCAAGGAAACGACATTAATATGCACATCTTATTTCCATTTGCATGTTTTAATTGCTAACGGGCAGGGGTGTTTCTCTTACAGAGGTATAAAAAAAAAAGATCGCACAAGTTTACATTTCATGTGTGCAATTATTATCACGAAAATAAAAGAAAAAGAACTCGAGTGAAATTTATCACTGTTTAACACTACTGTGAGTTAATGTTCTTCCCATTACTCCTCTCAAATCGAGAAAGCTTGATGGTTGACGGTGCGTGCGTGCATATGTTTGTGTGCGTTAATGCGACTGTTTGTGGGTAGGCGTCTGTGTGTGTCTGTCTGTGGGGCGTAAACATGTAATCAGACCTTTTTTTTTTAACTGTGCAGGTGTAAAATGCCGTCCATGCGCCAAGGCAAGGCTGTCCCTGATTAGGAAAAAATGTAAGGTGATGCGTACCACTGCTGCTACTGGTGCCACTTCTGCAAAGCGAGCCATTTGTCGCCAAACGAAAACCTTGAGACAGCAAAATCGCCGACTGCTTGGACGGGTGTCAAACTTGAAATCAAAACTGAGAGAAATGGTGAAGCAGAACAAAGCTATAAAGGAAGGCACTTTTGAAGAAAGTATTGCTGACATGCCTCCAAAACAAAGAGAAGCAGCACTTCATTTTTTCCGCGCTTCCAAACGAGCGAGTACCAGGGGATTAAAATTCACTCAGAATTGGATCTTAGAGTGTCTGCTCATGAAGATGAAAAGTCCAAAGCTTTACAAATACATGAGAAGCAACAAGATCTTAGTCCTACCAAGTGAAGACACCTTGAGGAAATATTTGAGCTCGTACAAGACAGGGTTCGGTTTCTGCACAAGGGTCCTGAGTGCTCTAAAAAAAAAGACGAGATCTATGGACGCCTTTAAGCGACACGGAGGGCTGCTAATTGATGAAATGAAACTATCTGAACACTTGTCAGTCACATCCGCCGCCACTATTGAAGGTTTGGTTGATTTAGGCCATTTTACATCAAAAAAAGATAAATGTGAGCCATGCGACCATGGCATGGTGATTATGTTTGCACCTTTCACCGGCAAGTGGACACAAGTATTAGCAGTATTCGCAACACACGGGAACGTTAAAGGAGAGCTCCTCGCGAAAATTCTAGTGGAGGCTGTATTGCTTGCAGAAGATGCCGGTCTTTTCGTGGACTTTGTCACTTGCGACGGTGCGACATGGAACAGGAAGATGTGGAAGGTACTTGGAATCGAAGCAACGTCTGAGAACATTCAATGCAGAATGAGGCATCCCAAAGACAGCAGTCGCTACGTCCACTTCCTTTCGGACTTTCCGCATCTCATAAAGTGTCTTCGCAACAACTTGCTCCTCCACGACTTCAACACTCCAGATGGGCTGGTAGGTTTTCAAGCTCCCATTTATTCCTTTTTCTTCTGTTGTTTTATTGTTGTGTGTTTGTTATAGAACTTGAACGAATGCTTTCCGATAATTTTTGCGTTTATGTTATGGAGATACACTTCGTTGAGAAATGTATGCTTCGCGTCCAGTTGGTTCATTGGGTAAATGTCAATGTAAGATAGCACTCACTCACTACAGTTGAGGAAAACAAACTGGGAAGGCTGCCGGAGCGCCGCCATAGTCCTCTTTGTGGGCTGTTGTTACCATGAGTGACACTCCCCCTCCCCTCCCTCCAAGAAAAAAAGAAAAAAAAATGTCTGCTGAACTTGAGATGTCGGATTTAGGGCTCCCATGCAACAGCCCAGAAGGGATGGGGTCCTCGATCCTCTCCATTCAAAAAACAATAAAAGAAAAGAAAAGGTTTGTAGACGTTTTAGTGCGACAACGTTAGAACTGTATCTACAAAATAAAAAAGAATCCTGTGTTCGAGTGGGTTTGGCGGACAAATTCGTTCGCTAATTCTGGAACATCGCCAAATCAAGTATACACACACACACACACACACACACGTATATATATATATATATATATATATATATATATATATATATATATATATATATATATATATATATATATATATATATATATATATATATATATATATATATATATTGCCACGAGGCCACCCATCTTTTCACCGAGACCTACTAACTTCTCGAGATCCATGGTGTCTCGCAAATAAAACCTTGCCACGTGCACAAAATATCTGCCTAAAACGGTCTATCGGAACACTCTCTGCTCACTCGCTAACGAGAACAATGAGCAACACACAGAAATCGGACCGATAGCACTATCAACGACTCGAGGCTCTTTCTCACTACTTTGGACACACCGTGCACCATATATATGGTGCACGGTGGTTATATATGGTTATATATATATATATATATATATATATATATATATATATATATATATATATATATATATATAACATTATTTTGACACTTTACAATAAACTATTGCTATATGCTAAGGAAAGGCCTTTGCTCAGCAGGAGGAAGAGTCGGGAATGATCCGAGATTCGTAAACTGTACGAATTTGTCCGCCAAACCCACTCGAACACAGGATTCTTTTTTTATTTTGTAGATACAGTTCTAACGTTGTCGCACTAAAACGTCTACAAACCTTTTCTTTTCTTTTATTGTTTTTTGAATGGAGAGGATCGAGGACCCCGTCCCTTCTGGGCTGTTGCATGGGAGCCCTAAATCCGACATCTCAAGTTCAGCAGACATTTTTTTTTTCCTTTTTTTTCTTGGAGGGGGGGGGGGAGTGTCACTCATGGTAACAACAGCCCACAAAGAGGACTATGGCGGCGCTCCGGCAGCCTTCAGTGGAAAAGTCTATACTTCTTACGACGTTAGCTTTCGTTTGACGAAGCCGCACGCCACCTACCGGCATTGAGCATTGGACTCGGTAGTCGACCTTTTACGTACCGTATGAAGCGTGCGGCGATGTTTCGTTTCATGATTTCATGGCAGTAACCGTCTCCTTCCAAGCTTGTGCATCGGCCTTAGTGGCGGATCCAGGGGAAGGGGGGGGGGGGGGAACAGGGGCGATCGCCTTCCTTCCCTAAATTTCTGTCAGCGCTCCTCCCCCTCAATTCAATGCTCGCAGTCCACCTCCTATCACCAATTAGGACAAATGAGTGGAACCCCTGTGAGCACATAGTAACAGTG